CTTTGCCTGTATGTATGTCTGTGTACCATGTGTGTGCCTGGTGCCCTCAAAGGCCAGGCCAGGAAAGGATATCAGATCTTCTGGAACTGGATTTACAGATGGTTGTGAGTCACCATGTGGGTGCTGGGAGTCAAACTCTGGTCCTCTATAAGAGCAGCCAGCCAGACACCATAAATGATCACATAGCAGATTAATCCATTAGCTGCACACATGTGGCCTGAGGCCTGAGAGAAGAGTGACATGGAGGTGCTGAGAATCTTGCATAGATGACAACAATGGAGAAGAAAGTGGGAACCAATGGTTGGGTCATTGCCCAGGCAATGGTTGCATAGTTCTGCGAATCCTTTATACATGTGGGTTAATCTATGATGGCCATTTAGGGTATAGCCTCCTGGTATGTGCTGGTGGTTCTGTCTAATGAATGTGAGCCAGTGCCATGAGATGACTCATGGTTCAGCATTGAGACTTATGGGATGCTTCCTTTAGGCTTTTCTTTACCCACAATAACCTTATGAAATATATGCTCTCAAATAAGTAGGACTAGGGAAAAAAATCCTGAGTGAGGTAACCAGATCCAGAAAGACAAACCGGTATGTACTCACTCATAAGTGGATATTAGATGTAAAACAAAGGACAACCAGACTATAATCCGCAATGCCAGAGAAGCTAGTTAGAAAGGGGGACTCTAAGAGGGATGTACCTGGAGGGCCCTGGGAAGGGAAAATAACTAAGATCTCCTGGGTAAACTGGAAGAGGAGGTAGAAGGGAGGGGAGCACAGGGGATCAAGAAGACTGAGTTGGGGGAGGAATGGAGGGAGAGAGCAATGAAAGAGATATCTTGATAGGGGGAGCCATTATGGGTTAGGGAGAAACCTGGTGCTAGAGAAATTCTCAGGAATCCACAAGGATGACCCTAGCTAAGACTCCTAGCAATAGTGGAGAGGGTGTCTGAATGGTCCTTCCCCTTTAATCAGATTAGTGACTACCCTAATTGTCACCATAGAACTTACATCCAGTTACTGATGGAAGCAGATGCAGTGACCCACAGTCAAGCACTGGACTGAGCTCCTGGAGTTCAGTGAAAAGAGGGAGGAGGAATCATATGAACAAGGAGGGTTAAGACCATGATGGCGAAAACCACAGAGTCAGCTGACACAAGCTAGTGGGAGCTCATGAACTATGGACTGACAGCTGGGGAACCTGCATGGGACTGAACTAGACCTTCTGAATGTGGGTGACAGTTATGGGACTTGATCTGTTGGGGGAATCCCCTGGCTATGATACCAGGCCCTATGCCAGGGTCATGAACTGGCTTTTTGGAGCCCATTCCCAATGGGTGGGATACCATGCTCAGCCACGAAACAGAAGGGAGGGGCTTGGTACTACCTCAACTGGGTATGCCAGACTTTGTTGACTCCCCAAGGAAGGTCTTACCCACTCTGAGGATTGGATGGAGGGTGGGAAGAGGGGAAGTTGAGAGATGGGAGAAGGGGAGGGAGGGAGAAATTTGGTTGGTATGTAAAACGAAAAATAAATTTAATAAAAGAATGTATATTGTCATGCCCCTACTTTTACAGGGGAGGGAATTCAGGGACAGGTTAAATGATTCACTAAATTCACCCAGTTGTAATTCAAACCCGTGTATTGCCTAGCTTCAAAGCCCGAACAATGTCTTAATGTTGATTAACTATGATTTTTATAGCATCTTGCACTTGGCATGTTTCTCCCTTATTTAACCTCCAATGTGGGTCCCTGTGACTCAGCTTGGAACTAGTTTGCCCCTCTCAGCATTAGAAGCAGCAAGATTTCACTAGACCAAAGGCTCTGTTCCTCACCCCTGAACAACATATTTATTTACATATCTTATCCTATGGTTTTTAGCATCATTAAAGTGGCTCTACTTGGCCCTGTAAGAAGCTAATTAATCACCAAATATAGACCATGACTTGTTCTTTTCAGCCCTCTGTATGCTTCTTCCCCTCATTGTGCGATGCCATCTGGTGCTATGAGCTCATGCTTTTTGTGTTCCTTTGCAGAGTGCCAGATCCATCCTTTCTAAGCCCAGAAAGCCTGGTTGATTTCCGTTTGCTTCTGAGGCTCGGAAAGCCCTGGAATCTAACGCCTCCTTGTGGATTTTACCAGTATCACACCTTAACATTACCACAGGGACTTCTGTCTCCATCCTCCTCCATGTAGATGGCACATGAATAGTTGTGCAGATCAGCCTTTCTTTTTAAATTTTGAGGTCTTAAGATTAAAGAGCTTTGCCAAGTCATTGAGCACCAGCAGATCATCTTCTGTGCCATTTTTGTTAGTGTAATTGCATGGGCTGTGTGTGGGAAGCCCTGCAAATCTGTTTGACTTTGTGCTGTGACAGCGGAACAAGTGTTTAAGAACAGGACATCAGAAATCTTATGGCTGGTCTCTGATATGGTCTCTGATCCTTCCTTCACTCACACTTCCTTTTCTAATTCTGTCGAAGTCTGGAGTCCTACCCCTCCTCCCCCTTCAAGGAGTTGAGCACTGGGAACCTGTACACTGAGCTTAGGAAGTCAGGGCTTCACCACCAGACGCCTCATCTTTGAGACCTTTGAGGGTTGACTACAGATCTGGTCCCTTCCCTTGCCATCTTCTGATGCTCACTTTAGCATCCTTGGTAATTAAGTTTAAACTTACATCTCAGGGGAAGGAACTATATCTGGTGATGTATGTGCTGCTTACTTCATTTCTGATACCAGTGGAGCACCCAACTGCTGGTCTTCTTGCTGTGCTCCTGCTTCCTGGGGTCCAGCCTGCTACTGCCAAGGGGGAGAGGAGGGAATTGGTCCTGGAAATGTTGGCAATAGTTTAAGGAAGCACACGGTTTCCTAAGTGCACAAGTTGTTTTAAGGCCAATCTCTATGAGTCTGAGAAAACCTTTTTTGTTTGATTGTTTCATTTTTTTCCAATTCTACCTCTCATCTCCAGCATGAAGCAGGTTCTAAGAGATGCGGATGGGGAAAGCCAGGGAGCCAGCCAGGGAACCAGCCACGTAGCCAGTGTAATCTCCAAATAATATGTATAGACAGGTGTTAAAAATACAGACAAAGCCCACCACCACAAAGCAGCTTTGTTTCCAAAAGTGCTCATGTCAATACTAAGTTGGAAAAACCAATTTTTCATATTGAGTTGATCACATATTTTAGAATAATAACAACAGTAGAAATCTGTAGAATTCACATGAGTTTCTAAAGTTAAAGAATTGGGTTCCTCTAAAAGAACACACATTGAGACTTGCTTACTTCCTTATACTGTGGCCTCAGGCTAATTCTTTAGCCTCTGAGCTTCAGACTTTTTCTGTTTAGTGGAAATAATTATACCTGGGGTCATTGATGAGTATCAGTTGGATTCTTTCTGCATGCGTATGTGTGTGGTGTGTGGTATGTATGTGTCACCCGTTGTGTGGGTGCAAGTGTGTATGTATCCATGAAGAAGCCAGAGGTTGGTGTTGAGCATCTTCCTAAATTACTCTCCACTTTAGACACCAAGGCAGAGTGTGCCTTACTTGCACCAGAGCTTGCTTATTCCAATAGTTCAGCCAGTCAGCTTGCACTAGGGATCCCCTCTCCCTGCTGCCCAAGTGGGATTACAGGTGGACCACCATCCCCATCCAGTATTTATGTAGTTGTCATTCTTATGGGACAAGCCCTTGACCTGACGAGCCATCTCCCCAACCCCTCAAATGGATTTTTGTCAGATGACTTTTCTGTGTGCCTGGGATGATCTGATCATTTCTATCTTCTATTCCATATATGGTATGCTGGATAAATTGAATTTTGTACAGTGAACCAATTTGTATTCCCGAGAGATATCTCATTTGGTCATGATGCATGGCTTTCTAAAATGTTGCCGAGCTCAGATTGCTAGTATTGTGAAGGAATTTTGCATAAAATGTATTAAAGAATGTTACATATTTTCCTGGGACTGGGGAGTTGACTCATATGGTGAGCATTGGTAAGTGTATGAAGACTCAGTTTTGATCTGCAGAACCCATATATTTTGTTTGTATGTTTTAAAATTAAAATAAAATAACAAAGAGTTGGGTGGGATGGTGAAGGCTGTGATGGTGAAGGTTGTGATCCCAGCACTTGTAATGTGGAAACAGGTTGATCCCTGAAGACTTGCTAGCTAGTCAGTCTGGCTAGTCTACTTAGTGAGTTCCAGGCCTGTGACAGGTCCTGTCACACAGAGAGACAGAGAGAGAGAGAGAGAGAGAGAGAGAGAGAGAGAGAGAGAGAGGAGAGAGGAGAGAGGGAGGGGGAGGGGAAGGGAGAGGGAGAGGGAGGAAGGGAGGAAGGAAGGAAGGACAAAAAGGCAGATAGTACCTGAGGAGTGACACCCAAGGCTGTTTTCTGGTCTCACATGCACGCATATGCACTCACGTTTGCTCCTGCACACAGACACACATAGCTTCCTTTCTTGTGATGTCTTGGTTTCCGACTCAGGTAGGAGGTATTTCTTCCACCCCCCACCCACTCCCCGTGCCTTTTTTTTTTTTTTTTTTTTTTTTTTGAAGAGTCTGAGAATTCCTGATTTTTCTTTAAGCATTTGGTAGAACTCACCAGTCACCTTGGGCTTTTCCTTACAGGACATGTTTTACCAAGTTAATTATCAACTCTCTCCCTTTTCTTATTATAGATACAGTCAGAATAGATTACCTATTGCCTCGAGTTAGCCCTTTGAGTTTGTGTTTTCCTAGGAATTTCTTCTGTCCAATATAATATTAGTGTTTGTCAGGTTTCCCCAGTATTTATTTCTGTGAGATTAACCTCCTTCACTATGTGATTTTTTTTTTTAATTTCACTTTGCTTTTTTACTTCCTGGGAGTCTACCCACTAGAGATTAATTTGCTATCTGTTAGGATTTGCTAGATAACAGCTGCAGGGTTAAAGGGCTAGCACACACTCATGCTGCTTAAAAGTCAGTTTAATGAGATGCATTTATTCAGACAGCTGGCCGTGATGACTGACCCCGAGAGAAGTATTATGGTTTGTTGCTGAGTTTCAAGGGAAGAATGATGCTGTTCCTAGGATTCAGGACAGATCCACAGTCAGCCAGTGGGTGGGAGAACAAGGACGAGGGCTGAAGATGACCCAATGGCAACGTGAGGCCATATTAAAATATGGGACTGGCCATGCCACTAGATGAGGGGAAGAAAAGAATTCTTTGTCCATCAAGACTTTCTCAAGATTCATAGTTCAAGTCAGTAACGTTAAGGAATGACACCAGATGCTGGAGACTTTTATTTGGCAATTATAACTACCCCCTAAATCACCATGTAGAAGTTGACTATGGAAAAATGCCTTCTAGTTTCCATATATATATATATATATATATATATATATATATATATATATGGAGTATACACTAATGAATTTTGGGGGTGAAACTTAATTGAGGGTTTGAGACTAGATTGAATTTAGACAAGGCATTTAAGTGTTAAAATTCTAGGCTGGTTTTCTTCAACCATCTGAACATTTTAGCCCATTTCCCCCCCAGATAGCTTTGTGTTTAAGTCAAACAAACTCATTTAGTATTGAAAGGCATTTAAATATATGTATATATACACACTCATAAAAATGCATATAAGATGGAATGTGATTTTTGTATTTGGCTGCCATGAGTTGCCTCTGTTAATGACAGTAATCAAGAGATTCCTTATCCCTTCCCCATTCATTCCCTGGTTTAGGATAAATTATTCTGCCTTGGGCTCCAGAATTCTATTACAAATGAAAAGGCTAGCAAATCCCATTTCTTATTTCTTTCAAGGTATTGCCCAGCGATGCACAGCTATCAAGTACCACTTTTCGCAGCCAATCCGCTTAAGAAACATTCCTTTCAATTTAACCAAGACAATCCAGCAAGATGAATGGCACCTGCTTCGTAAGTATTTCTGGGAAAGGATTACACAAGAAGAAAAAAAAAATCCCTACCTCTCTTAGGTTTGGATTGAAAGCTGTTTATCCTATGTGCCCTCTGGACCCAGCTGAACTTGGTCAGACACTCCAAGCATCAGTTTGCTATGCTGTGAACACAGTGTGTTTACAATTCAAGTGTGAGAAAAATCATGTGTGAAGCTCTATAAGACAGGACTATGTGCCTGTCAGCCTGAGTGGCATTGCTAACTTCAGGTAACTCAACCTTTTTTTTAAGTTTTATTTTTAGTTATGTGTATTGTGAGGGGGTATATGCATGGGAGTTCAGGTGCCCTTAGAGGCCAGAGATACCCCTAGATCTCTCTAAAGCTGTAGTTACAGGTGTTTGTGAGCCACCCAACATGGGTGCTGGGAACCAAGCTCAGATAGCTGTGTGTGCTCTTTAACCACCAACCAATCTTTCTAGCCCATCTCAATTTTTAAAAATAAGTTAGTATGTTTATGTTTTTTTTATAAGTTAGTATGTTTAAGAACTTATACCTTCCATGCTCTCAATTTTTCTCTATATATTCTCTATTTATTTTAGTTACTGTGTTTAGCTCAGATCACTGTATTTTTGCTGAAATATCTTTATGAATGCATGTCATAATTTTCTCAGAGGGTTGCATCTCTTAGCTCTGCATCTTGGTGGAAAGAACTGCTCTTTTTCACTGTCAAGGAAATGTGAAAGTCTAGATAAGAGCGTGCAAAGTGAAACTAAAAAGGGTGGATATTTACCTAGAAATCGTTGATGCAAACTGGCTAGTGGTAGGTGGCACGTGAAAGAAAAACAAGACATTGAGTTTTTTCCCGTGTTCCCCAGAGTCAGAAGTCAGCATTGCTGTCTTTTCCAGTGAGCAAACAGAGATGAGGACTGTGGACACGTTGTTTGGTGGAGAAAGCCACTGTAGATACTGTCTTGTTCTTCCAGTAAATTGCCCTGGAAAGCAAAAGGCTATGTCCCAATTCTCACTACAAATATGGAGGCTCGATTTTAGGACTTACAAAGTCATTGGATAAAAGCCAGGTGGTGGTGGCATACACTTTTAATCCCAGCACTTGGGAGGCAGAGGCAGGTGGATATCTGAGGTCAAGACCAACCTGCTCTACAGAGTGTTTTTCAGGACAGCCCAGTCTACAGAGAAACCCTGTTACAAAAAACAAAACAAGTCATTGGATAAAACGTCGAGAGAGTGATAAGACTTCTTTCTTGCTGGCAAATTCAAACAAGCACTTCTCAATAAACCCATAAGTCTTATCTGGGTGGTCTTCCTTCTTAACCCCTTATGAGCATGTTTGAAGGTCTTTGTCTTAGGTGTCTGTGAAGACCGGTCTCATTGTCACTGACTGTGGCCAGAAAGAAAAATTACAGGGCCCAGCAAAGGACCTCATCCCTTTAATTCTCCAAGTTTTGGCCTCTTTACCCAGCAAGGCAAAGATTTGATCATTAGCCTTGGTGGAGTTTCTAAGAGCAAGATGCTTTCAGCTCCCACAGGCCTGGCTGTTTGTTTCTGAGAGTCATGCTTGGTGATCTGTACCACATTCCCCAGTTAGGACACCACCATGTCTGGAACCGATGCCAGGCCCCTATAGGTTATGTCTGATCTTTGTGATTTTTAGTAGTCACATAAGACAGATTTTTCACATCACAGACTCTTGGGATGTTATAGCAAAGGACTGAGCCATTATTAGTCCCTCTCCGCATATGTGGCCATCTCCAAATTCTTTGTACCCTGTACCTATAACACTAAACTCAGCATATTTAAATTGTTACTATCCATAATCCCTTATTTTGTGATGTATATTTTCTCTTCTGAGGAAGAAAAAAGGCCTTGTTTTAATTCAGATTAAAAGATTTAAAAACTCTGAGATGGAAATAAGGACTCCCTTTGAAGAAATAGGGAAACCTAGCTGGGCAGTGGTGATGCACAACTTTAACTGCAGCACTCGGAGCAGAGGCAAGTGGATCTCTGTGAGTTTGAGGTCAGTGTGAGCTACTGAGTGAGTTGCAGGACAGCCAAGGCTACACAACTGTCTCAAAAACAAACAAACAAAAAACAACAAGAAATAGGGAAACCCACAGGTAGCTAAGATGCTGTGGCCAAGATTGGAAGCTACTGTAGCCAGTCTTCCCTCCATGCAGTCCCCCGAAGACAATTCCACAGCAGCAGAGGAGCCCCACTCACTACTGAGATCTACTTCATGTGTGTTTTGTTCAGACTTGTTACCTGGCCTTAGGGGCAGCAGTTGTGTGCTTGAGAACTCTTGTTTTAGGAAACATCGTAGACTTTGAACATCTAGCTAAGAGCTCCTTTCAGTTTGCTTTCTTCCAGACAAAGACAGGAGCAGAAGCAGGAAGGACAGAAAGAAACAGTGGAAAAGTAAAATAATGAGAAGGAGGGCAACGTGAGTGTTGCAAATGGAAGACACATTTCTATGTAGATCAGTGGTTCTCAACCTTCCTGATACTGTGACTCTCTAATGCAGTTCCTTATGTTGTGATGACCCCCAACCATAAAATTATTTTCATTGCTACTTCATAACTGTAATTTTGCCACTGTTGTGAGTGTAATATAAATATCTTATATACAAGGTATCCATTGATATGTGACCCTCAAATGGGTTGAGACCCATGGATTGAGAACAGCTGATACAGATGTTGTCTGTTAGGCATATAGTGGAGATTTGTTCCATGGGCATAGTCTCTCGTTAGCCTGGGTAAATAGGTGAATTGGCACTCTGTTTGTAAGACTTGTCCCATGGGTATAGTCCCTTTTTAGCCTAGGTAAATAGGCACTCCGCTTGTGAGACTTGTATTTAGCAGCGAGATGATGTTTATGAACAGCTAGCTGTCTCAAGCACACACTGTAGGCCACTGCTTCCTTCTCCAAGGTGGCTTTACTTTCTCACATTTTTCTTAAATACTTGTTGGAAATAGACATGGGTTGCTAGAAATGAAAAAAAACCTAATTGGCATCTGGGATGCTCAGACAAAACTCTGTTTTGTTATAAGCTTGCCTTCTAGGCTCTTTGTTCCAAAGAGGGAGAAGCCAGGTTAATAGAGACCACTGTGGTGTGCTAACCTTCATCTGGGTTGCTCTTTGAAGGCTGAGAGTGTGTCTCTTGAGTCTTCCTTGCCCACTTTGCTATGGATCTTGTTTGTTGCTCACATTTACCCTGTGGTTGTCCCCTCATCTCTTCTGTAGCTGTAATGACTTCATGGACACAGAGGGCTGCACTGATCCCAGGAATAGAATCCCCCAAATCCTCCACCCTGCAGACCCCATGCCTGCCTGTATAGCATCCTCTCACAATACGAATGGAACTCTTTGTCCTGCAATTGTCACTTTCCCAATCTGTCTCCGATTTTGACTGTTTCTGTTTTTGAGATTAGATCTAAGAAGAATAACAGCTGGCTTCCTGGGCATGGCGGTGGCTGTCCTGCTGTGTGGCTGCATCGTGGCCACTGTCAGCTTCTTCTGGGAAGAAAGCCTGACCCAGCACGTGGCTGGCCTCCTATTCCTCATGACAGGTATACTACTGCACGTCATTCTCTGCATTCAGCTTGGTCATATCACTGTTGATTTTGTTTTCACTGGTGAGAAGAGAGCAAGCAGAAGAGGCTCATTCAGTTTTGTAGGAAACAGAATTTAAAGGGAACAGGGCACAAAAGTGCATTCCCTCTTTTCCCATAGCAGCATTAATGGGTCAGAGGAAAGTGTCATTAGAGCCAGTGCTGGTATTTTCTCTCTCATTGTTTAATTCTATGTCTTGGATTCTGGCTTGGACTCTTGACAAAGACAGGCCACTTTTCTCAGGTTCACTCAAGGAGAGGAAGGCCAATAGCTCCAAGTCCCCTCATAGTCCATGTAAAGGGGATGGTGTCCTTGGCATTCCTGTTGGAGGTCTTACTGTACCAGTGCCTGTTCTTGGTCTTAGAGACACAGCCTCTCTAGCAGGCAGTGTCACTGCCCATTTTTATTGTGGAGAGACATAAGAAATGATTTGTGATAACAATAGAAACTGTGAAGAAGATGGGCAGTGTACGGTCGTTTTGGGTGATGCTGAGGCAACAGTTTCTCATGAAGCCCTGAGGTATGGCTGGAAGTTGGGAGAGAACTGTGGGCTGAGGAAGCCACCAGCCCCAAACTCTGGGCAAGAGTGGGATGAGTGTGTTCTGAGCAACAGAAAGAAGAGCAATAGGAGAAGGAAAGAAACCATGCAAAGTGAGAGCCCTGGCCAGGAACCAAATCTTTAGAGATCTCCTAATGAAGAGAAGAGCATGAGTGTGAAGTGAGGGTGATAGACACTGCTGGAAGGTTCCATCGAAGGACAACTTTGCTTAAAACATAAGGGGTGTAGAGACACAGCTAGGTTTCTCTGGTTAACAAATGAAGGGTATTTTTTGTCTAAAAGGCAGGTGGAAGTTGGGGTCAATGGCTAGGGGAAGGTGGCTATAGAGTAGAAATGGTTTTCTTTTCAACCTTCACAGGAAGTGAAAGTGTGTATAATGAAAGAATGCCAAATTAAGTCTCACCAAGTAGACCCAGCATAAGAACCAACACTACTCTAGAAGGCGATCGTTACTTCCCTGAGGTTTTGGTACTCAAGTGACCATTACAAGACTCCCTCCCCCCCCAATATTTGCCTCTATTATAAGTGATTTATCAAGCCTGTGTTTTGGTAGCAGCATGCCTCCAGTGCTGACCCCATCTGGTTTTCTGCTCTAATGGCATATAGTAAGTGTACAAATGATGGTTTTCCTATATGTCCATGCCATCTTTTCTACGTTTCTCTCAGAGCCAACAGATAAGTGGTACTTCCATGTCTAGTATGTTCACATCATAGCCTTGACATGACAAATAGCTCTCCTTCCTTTTTACTCCACTCCACTCCTTTTCTATGCAATGGTGTGACCTTGTCTGTGGACTGTCATAAACACCCCAACAAAATGTTCAGATGGACCCTGGACCCTGTATAGTTCTGGAAGAAAAGCCAAGTTATTTCTCCCAGGTTTAGAGGGATATCCAGTGATGTAATTTGGGAGGCTTGAAGCTGGTTTCTAAGCTTTGGAAAGAGGTTTTGAACCCTTAAAAGCCAAGGATTTGTGTCTATGGGTGGTCCAGACAAGTGACCAAATTGTTTTAAGATTCTTCTTCTATGTCTTGGTTCGGGCTTCATAGGAAAAATCGCCTCCTTTTCTCTCCCCTTTGTTAGTTGTATCCCAAGTATATGGTTTCTAGCTCAAAATACATTAAAGAAGTGTAGTTTGCTTTCCCCCAAGCAGTATTATTGTTGTTTATTTGCTTTTCAGATAGAGACTTGCTATGTAGCCCTGGATAGCCTGGAACTTGCTATGTAGTCTCAGCTGGCTTTGAACTTGCAACAGTCCTGCCTCTGCCCCAAGTCTTGGGATTGCAGCTATACATTATAATACCTGGCTGCTTTCCCGAAGTCTTGAAAGGCCCCACACCAAAAATCACAGAAGGATTACTTTATTTTAAATGCCATCTTTTACCATAGGTGGTGCAGGAGTAACTAAGGATGTTCAGGTGTATGAAACAGCTGTTAGTATTGAAATAAATCACAAGACCACCCAAGCCAAGTCTAACAGTTCCAGGGAGGCCAAGGAGATGCATTGTTTTGTTTTGTTTTGTTTTACAAAAAGGAAAGTAAAATCAAGTGTCTTGTAGTCACAGAGAAAAAGCTGATGGTTTTCAGGGTGCTATGCTCTTCTGTCACTTGAAGTGGGGTGTAAGGAAGTTCCTTTTGATTTGGTTGAGAGGAACAATGCTTTCAAATTCCTACCAGGACACTAAGATGCTGGTTAATCCAATAGCTGAGATAACTTGGCTGGAGTGCCTTTTCAGGGAGTGGCAGGCAGCGAAAACATTGAAGGGTTAAAAGAATTGATTTTAATTAAGCAGGCTGTCTTCAGCATCTCTAGACGGCAGCTCTCCCACAGATTTTTGATGCTAAACTTAGCCCTTTCTAATATGCTGGTGTCTTCATTCTCTGCCTGAACTGATTAGCTAGCCCTTCCCTTCAATGGGAACCCCAGTGATGTGACAGTTGAGCTGTTAAAATGGGAGGCGAAGAGCAACCTTCCTCTTTCAACCACGTTGCACACTGACCAGCCTGGACAACCTGCAGGCAGAAGGACTGCTTCTGGACCATCAGTTTGCATCTGAGAGCTGGGCTACAATGCCATGTGCTACTCTCCAGCCTTGCAAGGGTTCCTGGAGAAGGACCTGGGGCATCATACTAGACCTATGATATCACATGCTCTGAGGTTACACACTCAAACAGTGGTGCACACAGAGAAGTGGGCCAGTGAGACCCTCCTTTTCCAGCTTTAAGTTCCTCCCCGTTGCTAGAGTGTACCATTATCAGTGCAGTGTGAATGAGCTCTACCTCTGTTAAATGGATGAATGAATGAAACAGCTAGGTTGGGGAGATCGATGACCCAGCAAGGTGATTGTTTCCCGCCCCCTCCCCCAAGCATGAGGGCCTCCATTTAATCCTTAGAACCCATATAAAAATAGAAATCTGAATGTGATGGTGTGTGCTGGTAATCTCAGCAGTGAGGAGGCAAAGCCTGGAGGGTTTCTAGCAATAGATGAGGAGTCAGCCTTGCCTACTTGGTGAGCTCCAAGGCAATGAGAGCTCCTGTCACAAAGAAGGTAGAGAAAGTTCCTCAGGGTGGTCCTGACAGCTCCATAAACATGTGCACACTCACACACTCAAGTACATATATGTAGACACATGCAAAAAGCAAAAATGAGTAAATGAAGCATTCTATTAGATGACAATAGGAATACAGCTGCAACTGTTACCATTAAAGGGCTAGTTTGTTCAATATTTTCAGTTTTAGTATATCTTTTATGTTATAGAATTTTAATCTGTTTTTTATTACATTTTTAAGGGGTGTATGTGTGGTGTGTGTGTGTGTGTGTGTGTGTGTGTGTGTGTGTGTGTGTGTGTGGTATGCCACCATGTGCATGTGGGGGTAAGAGAACGGCTTGTGGAATTCAGTTCTTTCCCTCATTCATCATGTGGCTTTCCAGGATGGAACTCAGGGCTGGGCAAGCACCTTCATCTACTGAAACGTCTCCCTGTCCCTTAACTATTTTTTTAATACACCAGAAGTCTTCCATTTTGAACAAAGCTTGTATTCCATTTTCCTCCCTGGGTACAGGTCTTAGTACCAACTGTACCCATCATCCTTCAAAGGCTGAAGCACACACATGGCATGTCATATAACACCCCCATGCTGACTGCAGAGGAAGAGGCAGAGACCAGGCAGCCCCTTCAAAACATCAGGAGCAGCTAGCACCCACCCTGGCCTGACCTGACCCTTCCTTTGCCTCAATGCTTCTCAGTAAAAGGGACCTGCTAGAGTAGGTCTTATTCTAGAATGATCTGTGCTATCTGTCAACTACAACCCTAAACCACAGATACTTGATATATTATCTGAAACCCTGGGGATTAAATGTGTTTTGGAATTCAAGACCTAAATATTTTATTTTCGTGAAAGCATATGGCACATGTGTTCTGTGTATTCTAATATGTCAGCAAGGTCTGGGGCATTGTTGCAAAATCAAATACACTAACATTTCTACAACAAAATGTATGAATATTCACACTAAACAGGACCAGTGAGGGCTGTCATAGCCTTAGCTCGGGAAAGTGCAGGAAATGGAGGCAATATTGCAGAAAAAGGCTAGATTTTCTTTTTTTAAGGAATTGCAGATCATGGATCTTTTCATTGTGTTTGTTTACTTATTTCTTATAACTTTTGTCTGCCTCTAGTAGGCCTGCCACATCATTTAGTTACGAGGATGGAGGTGAGGCTTTTTAAGTAACCTATATGAAAAGGAACAAGTCTTTTTTGCTGAAAGGGCAAAAAGACAAGAATGATGGGCAGGCTATCTTTTGAAGGCACGGGGAAAGAGAAAATCAATGTTTATGCCTCTGGGTGTAGTAGTCAGTTGTTTATCAAGCAGGCTAAGCGGAGGGAAAGCAACTCCTACTCTTGAGCCTTTTAAGAACTTCAAAGGAGGGAGGTGAAAAAAAATGGCCCTAGTTAGCCTAATTATATCTTCCAAGCTGGCCATGGGCACTGCCAAGGTTTTAGGGCAGGAAATCGGACTGATGATCTGGGACAGTGGCATGAATTTATTTGCTGTCCCAATCTTAAAAATATCCCCTGCAGTCCTGCTCTTCTGTGATGTCATGGTGTGTTCTAATTAAGAATATCGGCAGAAAACCCTTTAATATTTTATAAGAGAAGTAGCTGCAGCATACATGGGTTGTCAGGAAACCAGTAATTATTTATTCTTTGAAGATACTCCCAGCCATAGCCAGGAGCAAGCTCAGGACAGGGGAACCTCTGTCTCATGGGGCTTCCGGCTGGGCTGGAAATATGAGCTTGCAGGGGCAAAGAGGGAAGAATGGAAAACTAACCTTTCTCCCTATGGAGAAATACCTGCATACTCCTCTTCGTACCTCTTCGTACCTTGTACGAACTAG